TAATGTCCGTGTGTAAATCGGGATCATCTGCTGCTTCCTCAACCCCTCGGTCCTCTGCCTCCCCCCACCCCTGCCGACCCCTCTGCCTCCCCTGTCCGGGCTGACCGGAGCCATCGTGCAAATTTTATCTGATGTCAGATTTTCCAATCTCTTCGTCATTCGAATGGACACCATTTCCGGACCTTGCGGAAGCTCAGCCCTCAGCTAATTCTCAAATTTGAATGACTCACCGTTATCACTAGGCTTAGTATCGAGTATCACCTCTCCAACCAAGTGTTTTACCACTTGGAGTCCTGTCCCAGCCAAACTTGAACTTCTTAATGTTTTGACTCGTAGTACCCCCTTTTTCTCAAAGACAACTCCAACCTCCCCTAACCAGTCGATAAATGTCGTGTTACGATCTTCCTCACCCCGGTATCTTCTCATTGCATCTAGGGCATTTTTTAGGGAAACGCTACGAAATTGAACAAAAACCTAATTTCATAAATCGTAAACCCTAATTTCAAAAACCCTCATGTGTAAATCGGGATCATCCTCTGCTTCCTCAACCCCTCGGCCTCGGCCTCGGCTTCGGCCTCCCCACACCCCTGTCGACCCCCCGTGTCCCATGTCCGTGTGTAAATCGAGATCATTCTCTACTTTCTCAACCATCGGCCTCGGCCTCTGTCTCGCCCCCCACCCTTAAATTTCTTGATGTTTTTACTCGTAGTACCCCCTTTATCAAAGGCAACTCCAACCTTCCCTAACCAGTCGGTAAATGCCGTGTTACGATATTCCGCACCCCGATATCTTCTCAGTGCATCTAGGGCATTTTTTAGGAAAACTCTATGAAATTGTAACAAAACCTTAATTTCAAAAATTATAAGCCCTAATTTCCAAAATTACAAAATCTTAATTTCAAAAGTTATACGAGCAATGTTTGTGTGTAAATCGGGATCATCTTCTGCTTCCTCAACCCCTCGGCCTCGCCTCCATCTGCCTCCTCCCACCTCTGTCGACCCACCACCTCCCATGTCCGTGTATAAATCGGGGTCATCCTCTACTTCCTCA